TAAGTCATTGGGGTTAACAGTGCCTCACAGATGCATAAACCAGAAAACTAAGGCTCAGTGGACCCAAAAACGGAAACCACTAACTAACAAAAAATTTAAAATTTAAAAATTAAGGCAAACAAATTAAACTAGAAAAACAAAATAAAATAACAAAACAAAATAACAAAACAAAATAAAATAAATTAAAATTAAAATATTAAACTAACAATAAAATAAAATGACAATAAAAATAACAGAAAAATAAAAATAAAAATAACATAAAAAATAAAATAAAATAAAATAAGAAAAATAAAAATAAGAGAAACAAAAATAAAAATAAAATGAAAAATTAAAATGAAAAATAAAACAAATAAAATAAAAACAAAACAAACAAAATAAAAAAATGATCCGATCTATAATTTTGTAGATATGATTAATGTTGATTAAATCAGTCCCTGGCAACGGCGTCAAAAACTTGTTGCGAACTCGGCAAGTGGACCGGTCGTACAAGTAATAAAGTGATAAGAAAAGTTGTCGATCCCACGAGGACTGATGACCAAGCACTAATTTATCTATTTAACTAAAGTTGGATCGATCGTGAAATGTTGGTTTGAGAATATTCTAATTAAATTAAAAACAGAATTTATAAAATTATTTTTGGTTTTTAATATTTTAGAAAATATATTCAGAATTAATAAATCTAGAAATTGGGTTTAAGTTTTTAATAAAAAGGCGTAGCTAGGATTCAACTTCCCCAATGGTTTCTTAACGAGTTTGGCTATTATTACGATTACATTCAAGATCAAATTATTAACAGTTCTTTCTATGATTGATTAAATCTCAATCCCTTGGTAATTCAATCCTTTATTCTAATCAAAAGCCTACTCCCTTAGTTATAGAATTCATAAGTCTATCACTAGATCATACGAATTCCAGCAATCAACAAATCGAAATCGATACACCAACACCCCTATTGTCATGCACGACTCTAATGCTCATTCAAGACTGGCCAGATCATAAATAAGACTAATCCTAGATATCAGATTAATTGCATAATTCAAAAGCAAGAATGTAATTCATAAGAAATAAATAAACATCAACTAAGAACCCATTGGTTTTGTCTCATCCTAACTATTAAAAAAAATTAGCCTGACATAGTCAAAAAATAAGAATAGATGAAAAGAAACTAAAATTCATAAAAAGGAAAATAAAACCCGGTCTCCACGGTGAAGCTTTGACCGTTCCTCCGCCTTCTAAATGTGCTCCTCTGCCTCGTCTTTCCCCCAATCCAAGAATAAATGGAATAAGCCCTAATGTGCATTTTTATAAAAATAAAAATGGGCTTTTTAATTTGGAATAGGCTCGCTGAGGATTAATTTTGATTAATTCTTTATTTTTCTTGATCTTTATCCTTTGCAACTGCCTTTATCCTTCTTGATTGCAATTTGTTATTTTAGACCTGAAACAAACTGAAAAGAGATTAGAACCTTATCAAGTTGTTGGTATTTTAATATCTTTAGATTTTATTAACTAACACTATATTTTTAATCATATTAATTATTATTTGAACTATATTTTATATTAAAAACATAGTGTTTTAGACACTTATCAACCACCCTTGGGTTTTCCTTTGGATTTAACAAGACTCTTAGCAAAACCTGCACTCACTACATTCTGGCTAGCAGAGCTGTTAGGCGCACCAAACATGTCACTAACAGTCTGAAGCATCTCTACTCCACTCTTAATCATGTACACTTGCTTCTGCAAGTATTTGGAAAGACTGAAAATAATATAGCAGCGAACTACCATATATAACTTCTCCTAATCTGAGTAATGCATCTTAGTTTTCTCAAATGCACTCTCTACAAGTGGTCATGACTTTGGTACGGTAAGGACAAAATTCAACTTTTCATGTTTAAGAACAACATCAAGGTTCCTTTTGCATTCTTCGTAGTTTGTACCATCTAAAGGTCTTTGGTTCAAAATCATGGCTAAAAGATTGAAGGAAGTCATTTTCTGAAAAAACATACAAGGCACACAATTACAAACAAGAAATGCAATAAACAAATTAATCGCAAGCATATTCCAATAACTACTCATCATTTATTGTTAACAATCCAGCAGTTTATCTTTATAAGGCTTACGTTGTGCAAGTCATTTGTAAAAACTAAAATTGTTATTTAGGCCTTCGGTGCCATTATCAGAGCCTCGTTGTGAGGGTTAATAAATTTATCAAATTTGAATGTAATTAACCATTGTTTAATTTCAAAATTATCTTTACTATCCAATTATTGTCGACGATGGGCCGCACAATATCTGACTAAAATTTTAAAATTATTAAGGTGCAATCAAATAAAATCCGGTCTTGCTTATCTGTCGGGGCTTCACATGACCATTTTATTAATGGATGCACAAATGGAGCCCGCAAGTTTTAAAATTAATTACTTAATTTAAAACCTTTACCCATTCAATATTTTAATAATTTAGAATTTTCATAAGCTCTGCCGAATTCCTTGTTTAATTTCAAAATTATCTTTAATAACTTAGTATTGCCGACGACGGGTCGTACAATACTTTATTAAAATTTTGAAATTATTAAAGCCCAATAAAATCCAATCGCGCTTATCTGTTGGGGCTTCACATGATTATTTTATTTCTAGGTCCACAATGCGCTTGGAAGTTAGACTAATTTCTTAATTTCAATCTCCTCCCAAAATTATTTAGGTCCAATCTAATAAAATCTAAACATGCTTATCCGATGGGGCTTCACATGATTATTTTATTAATGGTCCTATAATGCGCTTGAAGGTTAAATTAATTTCTTAATTTAGATCTCCTCATGTTCATCATAAGCAATTTTTCCAATTTTCAAGAATTGTTTAAATGAGAGTAACCTTTGTTTGATTTCAAAAACTATGTAAGCAAGAACGCCGATGAATGTGCATCACTTAGCTTATCCGTATTTTGAAATTATTAAGATCCTAAAATTCGGCCATGATAGGCAGCATGTGCTTCATACAATCATGATACATGATTGTGGTATGCAGCGCGTGTTTAACACATGACCATTTTTTTTTTACAAAACACATAAATTACTCGCAAAATAAACTATTCTCTTAGAAAATTTTCTTAATTGTTTTTCTAGATTTAAATCATCCAAATAACTGACTTAATTATTAATCTAGATTTCAGCAATCATAATAATTATTATTTATGAGGATAATTTGAAATCAAAATAATTATCATAACAATCATTAAATTATTAAATTCGTTATGTATATATTTCAAAAATTAGAATTAATGTCATAATGACCTTTAATTCAGCCTATCAAATGTAATAACTATTACATTTAAATTTCAAAATATGAATTAATTACTATAATGACTATTAATCTAGTCGTACAAACATAACAGTCATCATGCTCATGTAATTAATAAGTTATGCAATAATATGACACCACCTATTCTATATGATATGTTATCATATCAAGCATATTATCAATCATATAATTCATCCATTCAAAAAAATAAAGTAATTAATTATTAAAAACTTTAATCCATGGTTTACTAAAAAAAATGAAATTACAAAATAAAAACTTTTGAGCTCATTTGCTTTTTCCTTATGGTCCGTATGTTATGTATCAAGCTCCTTTATGGTAACCATAGGCCCAAAATACCAAACTTTGGCGAGAAACCCTAAGTCAACTGTCAGGAACCCTAGTCGTCTGACGTCCACTGCATCGTCACCCGAACTCATCTCAGCACGAAACTACTACAGGGAAAGGACTGTCGTGAAGGGACAAACACAAGGCCGCTAGAACCACCTGAAAAGGGTCATCCACGTGCCTCCACGCCCCGAATTTGTACTCGCGAGTGAGGCCCATGCGCAGCCACTTTAGGTGGCGCATGGGGGGCATCCGACATCCTTTCACGGTGCTCCAACCACTGTTCTCGTGCTTATGTCCCGTTTCACGCCATGTGGGTGGTTTCTGAGATCGGCCATCGGAAAGTCACGAACACGTCCAAACAGCGATGAACGTCCTTCTCTTTGCATCTTTTTGGTCTTCTTTCATTACAATTTTATTTGAAATACATAGAAAATATACAGAATTGAAATAAGATTCAAAGAGGAAACCTAATCATATGGGATTAGCCTCCTTTTTACATCTCAAGAAAATACAAAGAAATATCTACCATGGATTAAAGCCAAAACCAAATAAATAATTGATTTTTCATCAAAAGAATTATAAGATACTCATGCAAAATTCATACCATTAAAGATAGAAACTCTAGGTGTCATATTTCATGAAGCAAAACTAATTACATGAAAATTGTAAATCAAAACTAGATCCACATCTAAACTGGTAATCTGGCTTTGATACCAATAAACCCCAGCCCTACGCTCATTGGGCTCTAGGTTTCTTGAGCTCTTCTCATACTCTTAGCCTATTTGGGTTTTAGTAAAAGAGTACAAATTCAATAATAAATACCTTTAGATGACAAATCACTATACATAAGTGATAACAACGTTAGCCAACGGGTAGTGTCTGTGCACAGTAATAACATATTTGTCTAAGAGAGATTAAGTTATACCTATAAATTTTACCTTAATGTCTTCTTGCAATTGCTTTTTATCGAGCCTTTAGATATATGAATCTTATGTAAGAGGGTCCTATTTTCTGAGGTGAATTATGGCCGCCAAATATACCACTAAACTGCTTTTTGGGATGGGACCCATTGACAAGCGCGTGATTCATGAATGAAAAGAAACAGTCATAATGAGACAAATACGTTGAAGTTGACACAAATGCCAGCGAAAACAAAGGCAACCAAGCCTCTAGGATAGTTCTCAACTACATTATTATTTTCTATGGATCCTTCCAAGAAGGGAGAACACTACACTTTGAGCTTTGAGTGTTGACTGTGTTCAATATTTCTCACCAGTCACCACTTCCCACTATAAAATCTTGCTCAACCTCACCTTCACTTCACCACTTCATTTTAACTACAAAACATAGATATCTCCAACACTTCGTCTTCAAGTGTTTCATCTCTTCAAAGTCCCCAAACTCGTCCAGGCCTTCCTTTGCAATTGTCACCAACAATTATTGCATAGCACTCTCAAGTTTCTTAACAACAATGAAGGTTAGAATTATACCCTCAAGATAAACCAATCTCTATTATCTCCTTCCCTTCATCACTTAATCATTAAATCACCCCTTCTTTTTTGAAAGAGTTTTGTTCTGTCTGCATGGATGACTGATATTTGATTTTTTTATTTTTTGCTTTAAATTTTTTAGTCTGAATTGGTGTACATCTTTTTTCACATTGAAAGTATGAAATCAACAATTTTGTGTTCCTTGTCTATGATGATTGTAGACATATGATATAAGTAATTATTGGGTCCTGAAAGCTCTTTGGTTTGTTCTATGACAGAAAGTAGTGTTGAAGGTAGACTTATATGATGACAGAATCAAGCAAAAAGCTATGAAAACAGTCTCTGGCATTTCAGGTATTGAATTTAAACTTCTTATTCTCTCTTCTTTGCTAAACCACTTGGTTTTTAGATGCTAGAAGCAATCAACGAAATTCAAGAAAATCAGAGAAACAAACCAGAGACCAAAAAATTTAAAAAAAAAAAAAAAAAAAAAACCCTGTAGTTCATTCATGGCTAGCAAGTTGCAATAAAAGCAAAACATTTTACTATGCTTTGTTATAGTGGATTAGTTTTACAGTATCCTTATATTGATTTTTAATTGAAATTGAAATTGTTATTATGTTGCAGGGGTTGAATCAGTGTCAGTGGACATGAAAGACAAGAAATTAACATTAGTGGGAGACATTGATCCAGTACATGTTGTGGGGAAGCTTAGGAAATGGTGTCATACTGAAATAGTTTCTGTTGGATCTGCTAAAGAAGAAAAAAAGAAGGAAGAACCAAAGTTAGATGATAAGAAGGATTCAATAAAAGTACCTGAACATGTTAAGCTTTATGAAGCCTATCCCCTTTATTATCATATGACCCCACTACAGTCTAATCAATATCACTATGTTACAAGTGTGGAAGAGGACCCTAATGGCTGCGTCATCTGCTAAATTGTAGGAGGCATGAGATGAAAAGCAAATGCTAAAAGAAATGTTATTTTCCATTTTTTGGGGGCTTTTTTTAACGATTCAGATTGAGGGATGAAGTGCGTCCAAGAAGAGTATGCTGTATAGGAATTTGCTGTGTAAGATTTGGAGATTTTAATTAAATATTTGTAGCTTTTGTTGAAAGTGTAAGATTTGGAGAATAGAATGAATAAAAACATTTGGTTGGTTATGAAAATGGATTGGCCATAACAATAGTTATGCTGATAGAACGAATAGTATTTGCTGTACTTAATAAACTTGTATTGGCAGCTTGCAATGTTGTTAAACCATAGAAATTCCGTGAAATAGCATGAAGTAGTCAAATTGCACATTTAACAACCAGTATTTTACAATGGAAAAATACTAGCATTCCCTTCCTAAAGTTCAATAATTCATATGAATAATCGGCCAACTAATTCCTTCATGAATCTTCTTGTTAGTGCAAATGCTGAAGTCATATGGTTTTCCCTCCCAAGGAAGCCCGTCCTAATGTCTTTGGTCATCTTTTGGCTTTTCATAGCAACCTTTCCCAACTAAGTAGTTTGTTAGAAATCACAAAATGCGATTGTATATTAAAGAAATAAAAAACTTAAATGTGAGTGAAACACATTCAAGGCATTTGCAAAAGAGAGTTTTCATTCTGTATAGGGATCCAATCCAATTATTGAGGTATAAAAATATGGTTCTCCTCTGCGATTTATAGATTTGATTGATAGTTATTTATTCAGTGATAAAACTAGATTATTATGACTAGAACTGAAATTTTATTAGCTACAGCAGTGCATGGGTGAATAGTGAAAATTGTTTCATATTTTATTAGATATAGGTTTTTCCTGTCTTTTTCTAACATAGATTATATCAAGTAAAGAGTTTTAATCATTGATTAATGGGGAAAACGTTTATCATTTTAAATGATATATTTTGTGTCATTTTAAATGAAACAATGGTGTTTTGGTATATATTTGTTAACTTTTTACTTTTTCTCTTCTCGACATAATTAATTAGGAGGAGGGAGAAAGATAGAGTATTGTGGAGGATAGAGAATATAAAAAATTAATAAATATATATATCAAAATAAGATTGTTCTATTTAAAATGATATAAAGTTATATCTTTAAAATGACAAATATTTTTTCTTAATTAGTATATCAACAATAATAATTTCAATGACAAAACTAGTAAAACGGAAAAAGAAAATATATTTTAATTGCTAGCAGTTGATCCATCAATAAATGAGTGAAAATTTTCACATTAACATGTTGATGCTAAAAAGAGATATAGAAGATTCATTTAGAATGTAGATAGACATTGCAATTACAAAATAGTATAATACAAATGATTGAGTTAGATAATATTTTCTTTTTGTTAACTGTTTGTCGTCCGAAACACAATTTAAAAAAAATTGTGATATGACAAGATATTATAACCTAGCTTAGAATGTTTCTTAAATTATTTATGGAAAATAATACTCCCATATTACATAAAATTCATTTTACGTTACACTCATATAAAAAGATGTGTCCTTTTTAAAAAGAAAAAAATTGGTGGACCCCACTTTATTTATCTCACAATATAATATAACTTCTCTTATACAATATGGGAGAAGTGAAACCCTTTATTTATTGTACCAAATTTCTCGAATGAGAGATTAGTTTCATCCTTCCTCACTCAATGCACTTGTTGTTCTAATGAGGGGTAGTCTTTAGGGCCGTACTCCGATGACAAGGTGATCGGAGGATATTGAATGAGTATACCTCTAGGTTAAAAAAAAAAAACCCTTAGGGGGCATTTGGTACAGGAGAAATTTTTATTTGTCCGAAAATCTCAATTCTCAAAAATATGATTTTTACATTCAATTTACGATAATATCTGAAAATTTAAAATTTTAAAAATTTCAGTTTCCTGAAAATCAAAGAAAAATCCGTGTAGCAAACGGCCCCTTATTTATTGTACCAAACTTATTGTGCTCTCTTATTTTCTCACCAAATAAACGATACTTCAAACTTTTATACTTTTACTTTAAAAAAGAAGAAAAACCTTCAATGATTACATTGATTCTCTTTCTAAGAAGGATCTTCTATATGGAGGAGAGGATGAGGATGCAAAAATTAAAGTTTACACGGTTTCAGCCGTGTGAAAACAAACAAATTATACTATAATTTTGAAGAAAACTGTGACACTTTATGACTTGACTTAGGGTTGACTTGACTGTGTCTCACCCCCCTCCCAGTATAAATCTTGCTCAATCTCAAGCATTTTTTCATCACCACTTCATTTGTAGTTGAAAAGCCATCTCCTGATATTCCAACTCAACTTAACCTCTTTGCCTTCCTTCGCAATTGTTATAAACTATTCTTGCTTACCTCTCAATATTCAACAACAATAACAATGAAGGTCAGAACCAGACTCTCATGTGGTGAAACCCAGTTCTTAAGTTTTCTCATAACTCTACTCTGTTTCCGTGCATGGCTGATATTGTTGTATTTTTATTTTTTTAATTTTTGGTGGTCTATTATGGAGTTTGAAGCGAAGAAACTCTTGATCAACATTTCAGTGTTCAGAGTTCAATAAGGACTTGTATTTGACTATTTCCTTTCGATTTTATAGACTTTGAAGTAATTGTTGGATCTTAACTGCTCTTAATTGATTTGTCATGTAACAGAAAGTAATGTTGAAGGTGGACTTTTATGATGATAGAATCAAGCAAAAAGCCACGAAGACAGCATCTGGCCTTTCAGGTATTGAATTTCAATCAATTTTTGTTATTTTAGGCAAGTTAAACCCGAACATCAACTACCGTTTTCAAATTCAATAATAAATGATTCTCAACACATAATCAAAATAATTAAGGAAAAGTATTTCTGCGTAAATAAGTTATTTCCGGTGAGCTCAAAATGATGTCGTTTTTAGGCAAAAATTAAGGTATTTTTGTAATTGTAATATATTACAGGGTTATATTAGTCTTTATCATTATAATTTTTTAATTTTATAACCCAAAACGACATCGTTTCGAGCTCACTGAAGATAACTCTATTTCCGGTAACCGGAGAAATACTTTTCCCTAACTTAAAACCTTCCAACGTTCTTTGCTTGATTCCTAAACTTGAGAATCCTCATACTTTCAAGGATTTTCGTCCGATTAGCTTGTGTAATGTTATTTATAAAACGGTAACATAAATTGTTGCTAACCGTTTAAAATTGCAGATGGACAAGCTGGTGATGCCTAATCAGTGCAGTTTTATCAGAGGTAGACAAGGTACGGATAATGTCATAATTGCTCAAGAGCTAATATTTCCTTCAGGATACCCTATATGATGTAGGGCTTCCTGAAAATTTGATAAGACTAATTATGTTGTGTGTTTCATCTTGCACTATGAATGTTCTTTGGAATGGGGCTTGTACTAAAGAATTTCGGCCAACTAGAGGCTTAAGACAAGGAGATCCTCTTTCTCCTTATCTTTTTGTCCTCTGCATGGAAAGACTAGCCCATCTCATTTCTCAGGCAGTGGATCACAGGAGGTGGAAGCCAGTGAGGATTAAAAGGGGAGCTCCACAAATTTCCCACTTATTTTTTGCTGACGATCTCCTTTTGTTTGCAGAAGCTTCTCAGGAGCAAGTGTTAATAATTCAACAGGCCTTACATATATTTTGTGATTCATCTGGTCAAAAAGTCAATCATAGTAAGACTAGAGTTTTCTTTTCTCAGAATGTGGGTCATACTCAAGCAAACTATCTTAGTGGGCTTCTTGGTTTTTCTTTGACTGCGGATCTTGGAAGATACTTGGGAATTCCTTTGCATCATAAGCGAGTGGGTCGGTCATCTTTCTCTTATGTTTTGGATCGAATGAATTCTAGAATTGCTGCTTGGAATCATGCCAGTCTATCTCTAGCAGGTCGTGTTACATTATCTAAAGCAGTGTTATTAGCAATCCCATCATATCCAATGCAGGTGTGTTCATTACCGCAAGTCACCTGTGAAGAGATTGATAGGAAGATTCAAAATTTTGTTTGGGGTTCATCTCCACACTCTAGACGTTCTCATCTTGTGGCCTGGAAGCAGATTTGCATGGATAAAAAAAATGGAGGCCTTGGACTGCGGAGTATGAGGGAAATGAACTCAGCATTTATCATGAAGGTTGGGTTCAACCTCGTAGCTCATCCAGATGCCTTGTGGTCAAAGTTCTTACGTGCTAAGTACAATGTGGAGGCAGGCATGACACCAATTATTCATGCTCCAAACAACAGCTCCCAGCTTTGGAAGGGAATTACGCGTCATTGGAATATTATAATGGATCATAGTCGGGTGCAGTTAGGCAATGGTCAGTCCACTATGTTCTGGCTTGATAGCTGGCTGCCCGATTGTGGTCCTTTGATCTCATATGCAGGTTCTCAGTTTTCTATTAGTGATACTCTTCAGAAGGTGGTGGACTACGTGGATGAATTGGGGCAATGGAAATGGAATTCTCTTCGACAATTGCTTCCAGATTCTGTGCTGCATCGATTTATGAATTTTCTTCCTCCTTCTAGTCAAGATGGCCAGGATCATTTAATTTGGAATGGAACGACAGATGGCAAGTTTACTGTTAAGTCAGCATATGCAATATTAGCCATCAAAGATACTACAATCCAACAGTTTCCTTGGGAAAGTGTTTGGAGATGGCAGGGGCCAGAAAGAATTCGCTTTTTTCTTTGGTTAATGGCAGGGGAGAAGCTGATGACTAATGTTTGTAGACTCCGCCGCCATATGGCTCTTTCAGATCTGTGTCCTAGATGTAATCAGTCTAGTGAAACTATCCTTCATACTATTCGCGACTGTCCACAATCAAAGGAAGTATGGTGCATGATAATGCCTCATATAAATCAGCGTGAATTTTTCAACCTCAACCTGCACAATTGGATCATTTCTAATTTAGACAGCTCAAAGGATTGGGGGATGGGGTCGGACTGGCCTCTTTTATTTGGAATCTTAGCCTGGAAAATTTGGAAATGTAGGAATTCTTGGGTTTTTGAAGGTGATCGCCAGAATGCTTATTCACTTATCCGTTCAGCAATTGGTTTCAGAGATAGTGTCGCT